CGCAACACCAGTCTACAATAGAAAAGTAAATCTGGCAGGAGTTCGTGACAATATCTACCTTTAATTCCTTTGCCAGTATAAGAGTGCGCAAAAATACAAAATGCAATAACCAGCGGCCTATACATGTATAATTGTAAATACAGGTTCACTGAACCTGATTGGAGATAATTTATTGACAAGCCCCAGAAGACCATATTTTGCATTTTGATGACATACAATTTAAACCAAGTCCAAAAAAAGAAATCTTGAAAGCTGTCTGACGGTTTTAGCACCTACAAGCATTAACATTACCTCATTTTAAAAACAAGTGGATATGGAATTTTAGTTTTCAATCAATAAAAATGTCTTTGCAAATGTGACGCATCTGCAAGACTGAGCGCTTTAACGTTCCTTTAATTTGAGCAAAACGTTACACGTAACCTTGTGGATTACAACACGTTAAGTATCACACAGCCCCGACGAAAGACGACAAACGATACGGAGGGAGCTCCTGTGGAAGCGGATCGGGTTTTAAACGTTGAAGATCGATATGCCTTTTAGTGGGACTGTGTAGTCTTCACTTCTTAACCCTCACGGAGACACTGCATGGCCTTATTTGAATTAAAACTGATCCCGCTTCATTAAATCATATTAGAGCAAATCACATATTGTTACGTTAAGAGCAGATTTAAAGATACAGCAACTATGTGTCAATCTATATCTCAGGGCTGGCCCTTTTCCGCAATATATGTACGACGGGCATTAATAAAAAATAAATCAAGATCAATACAAAGGGCAGATACAGTGTAACAGCATAAACTGGGAGACAAAAACGGGGACAATTTAAGTTTTTCATTTGGGGTCGGGGACACTGTAGTGGACAGAGAGTCCGTTTACGGTGTGTGAGGAAGAGAGTTTCGCAGTTAAAATACGGAAATCTCGTCCAAAAACAAATCATCATCTTCTCTGGACCTAATGCGCAATGAGACTGGGCCATTTTATCCGGACTCGCGTCCCGGGAGATCACAGCCAGGAGGAGCATAATCTGTAAATAACACCGAATATGACAGATTTAACTGGATTAAACGGGGACAGACAGCTAATGAAAAAGGCAAAAAAGGGGGGAGGGGGGATTTGTTACGGCAAGACAGACGGGCAAATGTACCAGACATCCTAAAACGCAATTTAAAAACCTCGCAGTTTAGAAGCGATACCCTCTAAATAACCCGATTTCAATTTTTCTGGCTATACTGGCTTTCTTGGGACCGCCTGCCGCTTGCTTATCGATCAATTTCATTAATACGCAAAAGATCATTTTAAGTAATTAGATACATATTGCCAGCACGACAATTTCACAGGGGAGCCAAATCAGCACGCTACATTAAGTCAAAAACGTATCAAAACGATTACTAACTAGCTGACCAACCCCATCCAAGTTTGCGCCAGCTAACTAGCCTATATGGTGTCGGTTAAATTAAAGCAGGTTGTTTTAATAAGCCATGGTGCTCAGCGCAGCCGCTGCGTCTCACTGGCAGCTCGTCAATCTCGTTTTTCATTGTGTCATCTCCGCCCCCGTCCCTAAAATACCAAATATATTTCAGTGACATTTCCCCCATTGCAGCAATGCGCGCTCCCTGCGCGCCGCACGGAACCCGGCTCCGTTACTGAAGGAACGCGCATCGCGGCCCCCAAGCAGGAAACACAGCAAAACCAAAAAAGTGGTGCGCGCACCCCGGCGGAGCATTGGACCCTCATTGGCTAAAGCTCGGTCCCCGCTGGTCACGTGACGCGCTTTCCGTACAATAAATAAACAAAAAACTGTTAATTATTCTTCTTTAATAGTGTTTCTTGGGGGGGTTGGTGTTAAATATGCCAACAGGCCGCCTTCAACCGCAAAACGAGAAAGTTCACAATGAATAAAGAACATGACAATGGTCGCGAAAGCAAATCTGAAAGCACTGTGCTGAAAAACAAGCTGCATTTTTGGGTATGTGCGGAGGGAGGCGAACTGCTTGAAGTAACAGCTGCGCGAGACAAAAAAACCAGCTCCGTACTGCTCCTGACTGTTCAAGAGAATTTTCGGAGGAACCGACACAAAATGTATAATACCTCCACAAATACCGAGCCCCGAGAAACGACAGTCGGTTCTGCATGCAATGTGAAAAGAGCTTACCTACACAGTGAATGAGTTTATGCCGCCACGAGTCAAGTTCCTGCCGAAAGCCGCGCCTCTCGATCGTGCATTGCTGCCTTTTGCACAGACTCGCCATTTTCTATCGGCCCCTCCCGCGGCCGCGCACGTTCTGCTGGGTGCTTCCCAGCGCGCACGTCATCGCCACTTTTTTGTGTGTGCATGGGTGGAGTATTTGGAGACGCTTCTGCGGCATCTTGACCGTCAGCCCGCCCACCAGAATAAATATCTTGTTTTTGGCTGTTAAAACTGTCTGATTTTAGTCTTTGAAAAGCAAACGTTATTCACTAATGTTCAAAAAAGCCAAACTCCAAGTAACAATACGACTTCCAACTGTTTTAGTAAGTGCTGCAAATTTAGGATATTTTTGAGACTGTACACTAGCCTACGACTTGATATGTAGATTTGCTGCAGTAAGCGTGCATTATCTTACACATATCTCGTATGATAATACGGTACCCCAACTCAACTTTTGTGTCATGTTTTGCTTATTAACAATTAAAGGGTTAATTACGTGCCAGAGTTCTATTCGATTAAGTATCCAAAATCCTGGAGCTCCGACGCCACGAAGCATATAAAGCACATATCCGCAATCAGTTTTAACCCCTTTAGCTCCGAGTTGCATCGCGGGTTCTTAGCGCCGTACTGTTAAATGACCCTAGAAACAAAAAAGCTTTTCGTGAAACTGAAACAGGCACCTAGCCAAATTATCTCCATCATGCCAATGCAATAATTTGGTTTATAGTAAAATAAACACACACGATAGATAGATAGATAGATAGATAGATAGATAGATAGATAGATAGATAGATAGATAGATATAGGTTATTTTGTTATATGTGACAAAATTTTATTAAGCTAAGAGACTAAAAAACCTATTTAAAGTCAGCTATTTGCTACAATTACATTGTAATTGACTAAATGATTCATTTATTAAATAATACGCTTAGAATAAACAAAAGGAACAAGATCATTTTAAAACATTTGCTATCTCTGCTTATGCGTAAATATCCAAGTATAAATGGAAAAAAGAAAACACTGCAATCTGTGAAGGTAAATCACGTTGGAAAAAATCCCTGAGCTATGCAGATTAAATGAATAACTAAACTCACAAATACCTGTTTTAAAAAAAAACATGACAGACCCTCCTTGCAAGCCTGGTCGGCATTAGAGGCTGGAATATGGATGGACAAAATACTCTAGCAATGTAACAAGTTCAGTATAACAAACTTATAATAACACAAAATAAGATACAATATAATATAATATGCATAAAATGGGGGGCAGTATGTGGTTCAACAAGCTAAACCCCTGTCTGTGATCAGAATGTCATCATTTCAAGCCTGGCCTCTGCAGAATGTTGCATGTGTGGGTCCTTGAGCGAGGCCCTTAACCCCCCGCTCCATGGGCACCACTGCAGGGGGCTGCCCTTCACTGCCAGGCTCACTCTCACCTATGTGGGTGTCATAGAGGGCAAGATGGGGGAGGCGAAAAAAGAATTTCTCCACAGGGATCAATAAAGCCTCATTATCATAATGCACTGCACCTGCACCAAAAAACTGTAGCATATTTTTTTAGGTCAGTTCCATTGTATGGATGTGGTAAGGCGAGGAATGACAAGTTTGATCAGGCTGAAAACTCCACACGGCTGCACTGCAGCTCTGATTCTCTCTCTAACAGGCTGAATAGTCCTTTTTCTCCTCCCACAGTTAAAAAAAAATTCTGTTCAGGTGCACTGGTGATTCTTGAGTGCCCATTATGAGTAACGACCGTGTTCATCCAGTCGAGGCCTGTCGCCTCACCGAGGGGGTACCCTGTGACCCCTAGGATAGACTCGGAAACGATGGTGGTGGCATATTATTAAATGGATTAACAAACCATTTTATTAAACATCATTCCAACTATTAGATCAGATTCACTGACTCTCATAATGTACAAGTCTAGATATTAGCTTAATATCTGATATATGCTTATATTTTGAAATCACAACTTGGAATTGAATCAGGTCTGTTGAATTGTATCATATTGTATCATTTTATATTATTCATATTATGTATATTGTGCCATTTTCACTGCCTAAATTTTGTCTGCATGTCTATCTGCTATTAGGTATTGTTGCATATTTTATTCTGAGATCATTAAAAGCATATCCCTAAATTAGCATCCTTTGTTTCTTGCAGTATGCAGTGCACAGTAAGCCTTATTTAAGTTTCTCATATAGTGTATGGTATTTGACATTCATGACGTAAAATTGCCCAAAACTTCCAGCACTTACTGGTTATGTGTCTGTGTTGACCTTTGTCTGTTGCTTAATGCACTGAATCTATTGTCATACACTGGCAGTGCATCTGCCCAAACACGTGTGTGTGTGTGTGTGTGTGTGTGTGTGTGTGTGTGTGTGTGTTTGTGTGTAAATGCAAGTAATTTATTTTGCAAAAAAACTTTCAATAAAAAATAGACTGCAAACCATTTAAATTCCTTCCATCCAGGCAGTTGAAGAAAAAGGCATAATCTCCCTGGCAAGTAAATAGATATGCTATATTTTTACATCTTCAATGCAATACAATAAAAATTGAAGTATTCATAATTCATTTTATGATTTATTAAAGTGAGCATATTTCACGTAGGTAAAAATATATATTTTATTCTAAATATAAATCAGTGGAATTTTATAGGCTGCATAGGAGTTTAAGAAATATCTGTGATAAAATTTCAGCAGCTTTCACAGATGAGCTGGTAGAAATGGATTTGAGCGGTGGTAAAATCTTTACAGCTTACCATTGGCTTGCTTATGGGAGAAATAAATCAGCTTTCATAAAAAGAGCAAAACACATTGGGTAAATTGGCGCGTGGGGTTGCCTTACATCGCGAGCCGTGAACCAGTCCGTGAACCTTGCACTTTATTCCTGTGCTGGGACCAAAACAGCGCAAAACAGCAAAGACAAACGATTCAACACAAAGCACTCCATATAATTAAACGGGCAAACTAATAACTGCATCTAAACAAAACTGACGTCGGTCAAGAGTGTTTATACTTCGGTGCTAAGAGACAAAACGGGGAAGTGAATGAGACGTATTGGGCGGCAATGAGGTTCCCGACTAATAATCGTGCATTCTTCTCAGCTCACATTACGAAAATAAGAGATCCACATGATTCTGCGAAAGTGAACTTATGAAAGGGCCCCTAATTATTTATTCAATGGCGAAGAAACCGCGCGGCAGATCGTTCCTGTTACTGTGGCAACATTCCACGAGCCAACGCGTGAGATAGGAGCAGCGCCGGTTGGTGCACGTGGCTCCACGCGCGGACTCCTGCTCCTTCCACCGGGTCGCAACAAACGATCTTAGACGGCAAAATGTGTTGGAAACAAAATTCAGAACCAACACCATATAGTTTCACTGGAAATCAATCAAAACACCGTTAGCAGTTAGCATGGCAGTAGCTGAAGGCAGCTGGCATTTAAACACTGGGGGCAAGACTGAAGATTCAAAATACTGTAGATAAATTAGAAAACATTTTTTAAACAATGCCATAAGCATACAAAAAATACAAAAGAATACCAAATGTAGTCTGTAAATAAATAACTTACATTAACGATAAACGTAGCGATGATCGTGACTCCGTAATGATTATTTTTTTTGTTCAGGGCAAATGATGAATGGAGTTCCGTCAGTGAGTTAAATACAACGGTCAACATGAAGAGTCAACACATTTTTGGAGTTCAGGGATCAGTGATGAGACATACAGATATCCTCTTAGGCATATCAGGGAGGCAGATGAGAGACACCCAGGAGGGATGCTGGCAATAGGCTTGGGGGGGATTATGGTAACACCGAATACCGCTATCCCCACTCTCATCAAAATTTATCTGGAAATGTCGGAATATCGGTGATTTTAAAAATACCGTCAAATACCATATACCGCGGTATAATGTCGGGATGGTATGACAGCATTAGAAATTAGATACCGCAAAGTCTAGTGCTAGTTGTGCTTGCGGAGGTAACACTTCTTTGCTAATTTTATTGCTGCCGAATAGCAGAACAACAGATTTCCGGGACACTGCGCATCATTGGCGGGTGTCAGGGAGCTGTGGTAGGTGGGATGTCTGCACATATTCACTGATAGCATAGTGAGGATGACAAGAGCGAAGCCTCTTGGTTTCTGTTACAACAGGAGCAAATTATCTAAACTTATTCATGCATTATATTAGCAGATGGGGACAATAGGTAGCATAAGTAGATAAGATTATAAACCTACTTTTGAATGAGGTACTTAATCTGAATGACTATGCTAAGATATCTTCTATGTAAATGTAATTCCCTATCAATGTTGACAGTGGTATGTAGATGTTTATATAATATTCACAACCTGTTTGGTCTCATCAGACACCAAAGGTTACATCAAATATTTCCTTATTTTAAGGTTATATTTACTGTACTTGACATGTTACAAAAAGAAACACTTCATCAATATTTTGAGAGTTTTTTTTTCCTTTAAAAGTATCAGTAATAATCCTGGAGCCTTCTATTAGCATTGTGTTAAAATGGCTTCAAGGATAAAAGAGTAATATTGCTTTGCAGTTTGTCATTAGATCTTGGGAGACACATGCGGAGCATTCGTGTTGGATTTCCTCTGTGACCTAAATGAGTTTCTGTGATACACAAAATAAAGCAGATGATTGAGGAACAAGCTCAGGAAGTTTTATAGTCAGAAATTTACTTCAGCGCAGTAAAATAAAATCTATAAAATGTGACATGCCTTCACCCATATCACATTAACACGCAGGGCTCATCGAAAACCACCACACCAGACTGCTAAGTTCATTTCTTGATCTGTGGACCAGTATTCCAGCACATGTGAAGGATGTCTCCACAGTCTGTTTTCTAATCCCGATTGAAGACCTGTTAGGCCTCCTTAAGCCTAGCCTTCGATAAACAAGACTGCTGATGCAACCGTATACGCCGGTGTTTTGTCTGTGCTATGCTTATGTCGGTCACATATCAGCAGCTGGGTTTTTTATTTTTGGCAAAGTGCTCTGGAGTGACAGTCAACAAGTGGATGGGCATGAGGTTTGAATTGTTTTCACTGTCTATGAGTGACATAAACACAAGATCTCTTCTCTAGCTTCTCTAGTACCTTGACCGTCATCAGCACACTAATTCCACATCCATATCCTTAACCCCCGAAACCAAAGGTCAACAGTGACACTCCAGCTGGGCCAGAGCCAGAGATATTGCTCTTAGCAAGACATGCCAACAACTCAAGGCTATTTTGGCGATTGCAGCACGACATTTTATTGCCAGAAGGCACCCTTATCCGTGTGAAAGCACAAATCAAAGGTTGATGAGTTCAAAAAACACAAGGATGAGTCCGAGCAGCACAGGAACCCAGGAAACTGCCTTCGGGGAATTTGGGTGACCTTCAAGCCCAACGCATGCTGTAGCTAATGAACCACAATCATTCCAGCACACGACCAGCAATGGCGCATCAAAGCTATGTTCAAGTGAACACCGACTTCATCCGCAGATTATGTGTATTGAAAAGGGTTGAAGGTACTATGAATGGTATCTTGTTTGAAGACACAGGGAATGTGCTGTGAAGTCAAGAGCACGGTGACACCTCAAAATACACAGAACTCCATGACAAGCAGTGCACAGTGGAAGGCAAATCGATGGAACAGACAGGTATAGATAGGCATGTACTTTCAAATGAGTGATTTCTCCCTTCCACAGCTTTCTTTCCAAGCAGCCTGACACCGCTTGGCGTATCACTAGCTTCAGACATAAATCTGTCCATGTTAAACCAGTGCTGTTATTGTGGAGGGAGTCAAACCCACTCTTAGCCCATGTCATTCAGTTGCTACTCTGGAAATCTTCAGAGGTTTGAGCAAATCTAGTTCCTTAAACTGCAGAAGTGTTTCTCCAAAAGTGTGTATATGAAAACTCACACCCAGACCCCAGTGTAAAAAAAAAAAAAACGACAGGCACGCATTTTTACTTGGTGCTGTCAAAGATATTTACCTTCTGCTGCTGACGCTCTGGAGGACTGAGGCGACAGGAACCCCGGCTTCTGGGTATTTCGCTATGTGTACCTACATTATCGCCAGGCATCGGATATACTGTCTGACGTATAGCGGAGGTGAAGAACCAATTAGCAAATTGACCCCACTGCCCAAAGGCACGATTACAAGGCTGACGTTGCGCTACAAAATCTCGGGTAGATTAAACCATGACGGGTGAAGTAATCTAAGAAATCATTAATTTCAAGGAGGGACAGATTAAATGTATATCATCAAAATAACTGATATGGATCCCCCCTTTCTGAAGCCTATGACAAAGATTCTCTCAATGAACCTCACTGAGACCTACAACTATGTTGCACACGAATTCAACACCTTTCTCTAAAGTACAACAGTAACTTCCCTGTAGGAATCTGAATCAACAACCTTTCACACACCCATTTCCTTAACCACTAGGGCCTCCCATCATCCAGTGCTCTCGCTCTCTACTAATCTGTGACACGATATGCTTGGCTTGAAAGCACACGTCCTGGACCACGTCCAGCTCAGCTGGACTATCATAACCACAACTGCACCTCACCAGAGAGGTGAAAACCCAGCCTTGAGTCAGCGCCCTGAGCACGGTGCCTGAGCACGGCGCCCTGAACACAGCGCCGACACAGCGGGTAGCACCGCAGCCGAGGAACTGTGAACAAAGTTGAGTCGGCTCAAGTCCCAGGAGGAGCCGAGTGATTACACACCCTGACTGGGAGATTACACTTGCTAAACTGCTTCCAAAAAATATCTATGGATGAAGTGTGAAAGAATACGAAGCCAAAAGGGACAGTTTCATATACCGCTGGCTTCCTGTACTAGAGCGGCGCCGGGCGCCTCTGGCCACCAGAGGCACTTCCAGGGAGGCTCGTGACCTCTGACCTCTGCCGAGCCTTCCGCGTGGCACCACGGGGAGCCCTCCAAGCCTTTTCTCTGTGCGAGAGCAGAATACTCCGGAGACTAAGCCATTTACCGCAGGACAAGAGAGTCTCGGCATCGCGGCGGCAAACTCTGCAGAGATCCTGCCCCGTGTGACACATGTTATTTATGTCACAGAAACACATCTGATGTATTATTCATCTAAAAGGTTGTCCTGGCTATGCTCCGCTTTGCAGTGCTTGGTGATTTACATACAGAACTCTGGGATTTTTGCATAAAGTCAAAAAGGCACATCCTCCAGCTCAAGGCCCGTGTGGTTTGGCAGAGATTCTAGTTATCGTGCCCTTTGAACTCCAGCAGGAAGGTTAAGGGAGCGAGCCTTACAGCAGTGGATGGTCTGACTCCTTCCCATGCACAACACCACAGGTAAGACGCCACCCTGAGGTGAACAGCGGCATTGCGGTCTGGTGGCACCCTCCTCAAGGACCCGTTTCAGCACATAACATAATGGTCAACATATAACAGCGGATTTCCACAAGACGCTGCCTTCTCAATGGCAAACGTGCATAATGTAGGGCTGCAAGACTCAGCCCTGATACTCCTTCTGGCTTATGACCTCTTTATTAATCTCTAGCGGGTCACGGACGGTTATTAATTAGCTGTCGGGGTCCACGGTGGCCAGGGGATTAACCGCAAAAAACGAGGGGAGCTCGCGGTAAAGGAAGACGCCACATGGACGGCTAAAACAGCCGCGGTCACAGTATATGTTCTATCTTTATTTATAGAAGCACCTCAGAATCCAACTGGAGCTGGTGGTGCATTGCATGGGGGGAGGTGTGTGAATTTACATCAGAACTCGGAGAAACGAGCCCTTTCCGAAGGTCACTATTACACATTCTGCATGGACTGTTGTTTTTTTGTCACGACACACAGATTCACGCGTTTCCTACAAAGATCGCCCTCCCCGAGCAACTCCTCTTTGGATACGTTTAAATTTATTTAATTTTTTTTTTTAAAAAAGAAACCTTATATGAAATGGAAAAAAAAACCAGTAGTTTGTCTTTGAATTTTGTTAAATATTCATTAGAGCAGAGGTGGCGCGGTGGAGTAATCAGGAGCTCCAACTCGGTGGTCAGCAGCGGCTACCAGTGCCGGCGGTGAGGAGAGTTACCACCAAGCCTGGCATCTCACAGAACACCGGGCGAACAAGCCGCCATCCCGGCAACGCCACGCCCTGAAGGAGACATATTCTGGACTATGGTCTTGTTTTGTCAGCCCGGGAGCATTTGGTGGAATTCACTGACAGCCCCATCCCCCTTCTACTCGTCACAAAAATAGCTTTAAGGTGTGTTAAGGCTGGACTTTAACCTGTTTTTTTATACTGTGTTGCCATGGTGACCATTTGGAGTTCCCTTAATTTGTATCCTCTCAGTCCCAAGTGCAGCAAGTTGCTTGTTGCCTAATCACACGGTGGTTGCCATGGCGAAATATTAAAATATTCCCTGCCACTCATTCAGAAGTGTCAATAAGAACATGTGCTTTTGTTCCTCCGTGAAACGCGCTCAAGGTTTTGCAGGTTTCAGTAAGGGCGCCGTTTGTTCCTCTTTGTACGTCTTTTATCTTATCGGGTAAGCGAGCCCGGCTTCCCAAAAGCTCTGACAAACCCGCGTATGGGAGGAGAAGAAAAGAAAAGGAATAAGCTGGGATAAATGCAGTGATCGCTACAGCACGCAGAAAGCGTACTTAACCTTGCAGTCACAGCCACTGACAAAAGCTGAGAGAGTCAACGAGGGAATGACGGCGATGCCCGGCGGCAACGGCAATAAGGAAGGAAAGGGAGAAAACAACTTCAAAGCACTATTTTCAGTTTTTTGGTTTTGGTTCAGGTTCTTTTAAACCGACGGCGCATTTTCAAAAGCCGGTTAGCGCACAGTCAGGATTTTATCTGTCAATAAAATTAATTCAGATTTCTGACGCGCTTCATAGTCAGTTGAATTTGACGTATTGACATTTTACACTGCCGCTTTTAAATGCCCCCGCCTTATGAAAATATACTATACATACTATAAAAATAAGGAAAAAAATTACAAAAGGCCCGTGGAAGTGTGGACAGCGTCTCTGGAGAGTGAGAGGAAAGCTGGGAGTTTTAGCTAAGAGAACGGATTTGGCAGAGAGTTCACCCGCGACCCGACGTTTGGCGTTAGGCGTTTGCACCGGCGCTGGTGAGAGCAGGGGCGTGGAAACGGGGAGTCACTCAGGAGTCAGGTCACATACGTGCACACGCATGCACACGCACACACGGTCACGCATCATTTCCTCCACAGGGCATTAGTGGGGGAGGGGTGATTTTCTTGTTTTTTTGGGGGGGTTAATTAAGGAGGAAAAAAAAAAAATCACAAAAATGGTGTTAAAATTGGAAGATGTAGCCGGCACACCAGAGCACCGAGGGGGTCAGTGAGTGGACGGCGTGGCACGCCATGTCGTCTCTGTTCACCAGGGGACAGGCCGGGCAGGTCTGCAGAGGGACTGCCTCTCCGCCTTTCGCAAACCCCCAGCCTCCCCCACCCCCACCCTGCAGGCCTCTCCCCAACGACAAACGCCCAAAGTCACATGGTCAGGTTTTAAATCTCCTTTATTGAGGTCTCCGGGGACGTCCCTGATGTTAACTGATTACCCCACTGTTCTGGTGAGTCACAGTGCCCTCCTGTGGTGGAGGAGTGGCTTTACCAAGTATCTTGCCACGACAGGCAGCCAATTAAAAAAAAAAAAACATTTTATGTATACATTTTTATTATTTTGCTACATTCACAGTTTATGCTGACCTTAATCCACAACTATAATGCAGAAACATTTCTATTCTTGTATTCTTAGTCAAGCAGTTAATTTAAAACATTAATTTTTTAACATTTTTGGAAGTAATTTCGAAGCTTGGGGCCTTTTAGATATGAGGCTTTGAATTATGAAAATACTGTAATTATAAAGGAGATAAATACATGGTAATTAAAAAATAGTCCTGAGGAAGCAGGAGACCGGCCTCCCGCGGCTCCCCGCCTAAGAAACAAACCTCAGCTACATGCAGCTGTTTAAATGCCACCCCCTCCGCTCACAGCCACCCGCTGGAGGTGAAATCCTTCCGCAGCAGTTTGGCCTCGGCCTCCGACAGCGGACGCAGCGGGGAGCGGCACTCGCCGCCATGGTAACCGAACCAGCCCATCGCCTGCTTCAGGGCTGCCACCCCGAACTTCCTGGTCACCTAGGGAACGGAAGATGCCTCGACGGTCACACGCTGCTGCTGCTGCTGTTGTCATCGGTTAAAATAGAAAAGCTTTAATTACCTAAGCACATTTCCTGAGGTGTTAATAAACTGTCTTATTAACAGCCAAGGGATTCATATAGTTATGAACACAAATTATCATATCAGGCCGTTAGTACTGTTACGGCAGAGCGCTGAGGAAAACCTGCTAAACTCTGGTAGATCTGCGGGTGCCGTGCTTTGGGCTACGCTGCTCAACTGCTATCTGGCACGTTTGCTGTTACACATGCGCCCAAATATGTATATTTCCAGGTGTTTTATCAGCACAGCTTCAGCACCGCTGCGGAGGTAACGTACTTCAGCGCATCCTCATCGCGACTGGTCTGCGCACTCAGGAGTGACATAAAATCACTTCACCCGGTGCCTAAGGTATGAGATGGTAATGGTGTGTGGGACACTGTGGGTAGCGTGCAGGGGTGGGGAGCCGCTTACCGCCGCGTTGGGCTCGATGAGTCGACCCTGCAGCTCTCTGGCCTCCTCCCAGCTGCCGGACAGGCAGAGCTGCTCCAGCTGACACAGCTGCGGGCCCAGGACGTTGGCGAGAGCGCAGACTCCGCCGACTGCTCCTGCACCGCGCAGCACAAGGCAGTTAGTGCATGAGTGGCCGTGCTGAAGTAGAGGAGAGCGGACAGCGAGCCGGAGAAGAACCGGCAATAAGCCGAGAGGTGGGGTGGGGGGGGACAGAGAGAAAATGGGAGGGAGGGAAAGAGAGGGATTGAAAGAGAGGAAAGGAGAGAAAGGGAAAGGGAAAGGGAGAGGGGGACAGGAAGGGAGAGAGAGAGAGGGAAGGAAAAAGTCACAGAGAGGGGGCAGAGCAAGAAAGAGGCGGAGTAGGAGGGAGAGAGGGAAGGAGAGAGGAAAGGGAGGGAAAGAGCGAGGGAAAGAGAGGGGGAGAGATAGGGAATGGGAGAGAGACTGAGCGAGAGAGAAACAAAGAAAGGGATAGAGGGAAGGAGAGAGGAAAGGGAGGGAAAGAGGGGGATAGAGGGAGGCAGTTTCTACAGTAATTATTTCAGTAGGTTGCTGGTCCCACTGTGGACTAAAATCTGTTAGTGCTGTGCTGTATCAGGACCAGGCCGGGGAGGGACGCGCAGACGCTGCCCCCCCACCCTCAACTGCTGGTTTACATCCCTCTGTTCATCCCCTGAAGTTGCTGTGTGTGTGTGTGTGTGTGTGTGTGTGTGTGTGTGTGTGTGTGACCCGCTCACACAGGTATCCTTGGGTTTATGCCAAGCATTCCCTCCCCCACAGGATGTCAGATGTTCCCCTCCCCCAGGTAAGAATGATATTCTACTGTCCCCACCCCAGCCAAAAGCCTGCCAAGATGCAGATTCCAGGGCATCGTTAAGTGGTCCATCATCACCTACAGGTGGCATCTGCAATGCATTATGGGTCGCTCTGGACAAGAACAGTACCAGCAATCAAGCGGAGGAAAGGTCTGTTGCACCGCGGCGACTTCCGCGCAACAAAAATAGCAGAATAAAAGCTTGACTAAAATACTTGCAATTTTATATCCGCTAGTAAATGCCAATCAAAAAGGTCAATTTCTTATATAACCGTGTCCAAAAAGGCAGAGAAGTGGCTCTCCTCCGCAGCCGGGAACGAGGAGCATGAGCCGGCGGCTTTCATTAGAGCAGACGGGGGTGAGTAAGCGGTGAGTCAAGCCTCACCCACTGCATAGGCGGCCAGCAGGAAGCCCGCAGAACCAGCCAGAAGCTGGAGACCGCTGCCTCGCGTCTTATGGGCGATCAGGGCCATCCTGGTGATCTGGGAGGCCGGCAGCGTCACGGCGCGACATGGAACGACACCAGGACGTTCAACACAAACGCTACCATTACTGCCGATAAGAATGAAGGTTACAGGGCTGACAGGAAACGCGACATACGTCTCCCCCGCTGTCCTTGAGCCCGACGATGTTGGGATGCTGGGACAGCGCGACCACAGCTTCCACCGGAAGCTCCAGACCGGTGTTGGCTGGGACGCTGTACAGAACCACGGGAACTGGACTGGAGTCGGCCACCTGCAGCGGGCAGACGGGACACGGGGCGGTCAGCAGCCGCTGGAGCTCGGTCCATCCAGCCACACGCTCCAGGTCTACAGGGCAGCTGCTGCTAAGGGAATCGTTACTTCATATAAAAAGCCAGTGGGGGGCATAGTGGTTAAAACACAACACTACTGTGTATGGCTGCTACTGGAAGGAAACACCTTGGATATCATCCAAAAGAAATCTGTTTGCATTTTTTCATTGTCTTACAGCCAAACTTAATATTCTTCCCTATAATTTCTCTAAAAGAGGGTGAATTCCTACCATCATTCTGTTGACTTGACAAAGGTGGCAAAAATATTCACAGTTACAGACATGGGTACACGAAATTGTAAAACTGACTTGCACAATCATGTCCCAACACGGTCACCTGTGTGTAATGGCGAATCAGCGCACGGCTGTCCATCCTGCCGCGGTAGAAGCACGGCGTGACCACGAGCACGGCGTCAGCCCCGGCCTGGGCCATGCTCTCGCTCATGCGGACCGTGGCCTGGGTGGCTGCAGAGAGGGACGCGTGTCGTGAAAACCAGCCGCATGACTGCGCAGTCAAACTGCTTTGAACCCACCTTGCTGGACCTATGAACCCACGACATACCAGCTGCTGGTCCTCCAGAGCCAGAAGGACGTTCATTTCCTCTTATCTCCCCTCATAATAGTTTTATTGTAGTAATTAATGTCACCTTGGCCTCTGAAGTACTAATTAAAATATTATATTAATTAATACGTACAGGATCGTTATTCACTAGGGTAAGATGCCCCTGTGGTAGCGCAAATAGTTTAGATTTAAAACAAAAATGTAAACAAGCTCTAAGCTGACATGTCAGGGAATCAGACAGACAGGTATCACTGAGCATCGTGTTTGGTTCAAACCTGGCGAGAAACATCTACTAAACAGTCAAAAATGGTCAGATTCAGCTTAAATTTAGAAATATTATGTCTATTATGTGAGCCTTAACCGAGCAAATTAAGAACAGTAAACTGAAGAAAAGCGTAATCATCAAGACGAAGTGGCAGGGCCCAAGATGCTAGCTTTCTGATTCTCAATCAACTCAGCGAAGGTTGAATTCACCAGACTGACCCAAAGGCTGCGGCTGACAGCGAATTAACCCGCTGACAGATCAGAGGCCCGCAGACGAGCAAATCAGAGGCCCGCAGATGAGCAAATCAGAGGCCCGCTGATGAGCAAATCAGAGGTGCCAGAGACTAACGAATTAGAGGCCCGCAGACGAACAAATCAGAGGCCCGCAGATGAACGAATCAGAGGCGCCGCAGTCGCCGGCCACCAGCGGAGGGAACACGGCACAGACATTAACATGCACTAATGGGAACAGCCTAATTAGTGCCAAATGAAACACATTTGCTGACACAAAGACGGACGGGAAGGGGAGCTTTCCTGCTGGGCTCTGCGACCACGGTAACCGCCGTGATTAGCGCAGCACTGCTTCACAGAGGTGAATCCGCAGCAGAGCGGACTACGAAAGGGCGATAAGGCTTACATTCGCACCCGGAGCCGGCCATCACCAGCTTGTCCTTGGGCAGCGCACGCCTCACATGCCGCACCACCTCCACCCGCTCCTCCACCGTCAGGTACGGGAATTCACCATTGGAGCCCTGCACCACCAGGCCTGGCCAGGGGGGGAAGGGGGAGGAAGAGAGATGTAATCAGTCACGGGCAGGGAGACTGGGCAGTATGAGTATACACAATAAGGTGTTGGGCTTAGTTTCCCCAGACAGAAATGCTGCATTTCACTACACCATCCATCTATTTATGTTCCAAACATTTATCTAGTGCAAGGTCAAGGTGAGCCTGGAGCCTATCCCAGAATGCACAGTGCATAAGACAGGGGGCACCCTGGACGGGATGCCAGTCCATCACAGGACACGAGGCAGGGGATGCCCTGGATGGAATGCCGGTCCATCACAGGGCACGAGGCAGGGGACGCCCTGGATGGGATGCCAGTCCATCACAGAGTAATTCCCACTCCACCTGATGTCTAGATTATTTTGCATAAGTCATTATTTATGGGCAATACAGAAAGTTCACCTGCAGTTTCAAGTGTAAAGCAGGTGCTTATTATAATGCATTTTCAAAGCTCTATGAATCCTGACCCAAATCGCGAATTTCGGCATGTTATAATACAGCAACAAGATCACAGAGGCAGATGACAGCACAATGCATGCTGATACGGCTAATTACATTAAAGGAAGAATGCAGCGGGGTGGGGTCTTATGTTTCAGATTAATCGCCCTGCACTTAACCCCCCCGCCCGTCCGCATCCCCTGCTGACTTAGCAGAACGATTCCTGTCTGAAACCGCAACGCAGCCTTCAGGAAAACCAGGCGGACATAGACACCTGACGCGTCATATTTAATAATAAGGCTACACAGGGACAGGGTATCGGCTATGCTCAGCATAAACAGAGCGGAAAGCGCACCACGCCTCCATCCTGAGTCTCCACTTCAGAGCTGCCGCGACCCTGGGTCGTTACCCCTCCCACGCATGCGCAAAGGCCGCCTACGTACCTGTACACTACTAAACATGTGGCTTATTTTCTTCCATGGATTCTGGTCATTGCCCGACGGTCCAGCTACTGACCTCCATGAGCAGCCAATTTAGCCAATTACAACTTATAGTCACTAAAATGACTTACAAGTTCCTATAATCGGGTATTTTATAAAAGATTCATTTATATCGTCAACATGTGGCTAAAACATACATTAAACCTGATATCAGATATGATAAGGAAAATAATTATTTGGAATTACCTCTGAAAGGTATTTTTGCATATTTCTGCACATTTTCTTCCAGTTTTTCATAGTCGACCTCCTCCGTGGGGGTGAACGGTGTGGCGATAGGCGGGTAAATCCCTCCAACGCCCCGTTCCGGTGCGGAGCTGCACGCCACGGTTCGCTTCCATAACCTGACAATATTTCTGTTCCTAGGACCGAAAGAACTAATGGCTAGCATTTTCTCCAACGACTTGTCTTTTGTTTTAATGACGGACTCACCAATGGACCGTACAATCTGTAGCTCAGGCTGTAACACTCACAAAGGGAAAACTTCTCTGTTAATGTGCAACAGCCCTATCTAAATATTGCCAAGGACTCGACGATGTTCACACACAACTTTTTCGTAATACGCAATACTATTTTTAAAAATAGATAAGTGCCAAATCTGTGTTAAATAAATAATTTAAAAAATGTTTGTATACAAATCGGTAGTATACTAATAAACCTCATATCTCTTGTAGCCGGGTAACACATAAAGCACGTGGCATTTAATGCTTAACGCAGAATCACGCTAAAGCGAGGTAACACCAGGACTAGGAATTATATATGTTAGCTACAGCTGATCAGCACTAACTATCGCACTACATTACAAGTGCAAACCTTACTACTTTACTGTCTGATCGGCGCATGCGTAATGTATGCAAAGTCCTTAAACTGCTCCAACAGAACAACCGGTGTCTCACATCCGCCTACGTAGTTTTTTTAGCAATTTAGATTTAGGGATTGGGTAAAAATTACACACCTGTATTATGAGTGAAGTTTTAATATGGATTAAGTTTTAACCGAGCTGCCTTTTCTACATCCCAACGTCCAGTTCTCACTGAATGGTCATAGTCGGACGGACTGCTTGTACCTACACGCCATTCTCCGTCAGATCTGTACTTCCAGCGACCAGGCCCCCCTTCGTAGACTTCTGTTCCTAAATGAATATAATGCAGTTGTCACTGAGATGGGGGGTAATCTCAAAAGCATCCCACACATTTGAAATGTATCATTTATGTTATAGCTTAGCTGTCCAAAGCATTATACATATCCATTAATATATATGTAGATTTATTACTGAAGGATATTAGAGAGGCACTAGATTAGAACCAGCAAGCTACGGGTTGTAGATCTATATCAATAACCACCTGATTCTTCATGCATGCAGGAGTAGAGTCCCCTTTGTCTCCTTAAAGCTGATTTATACCTCTGAGCAGAATCTATGCCATCGGTAGATATGTACCATACACTGTAACCTGTCGCCTGCATTTCTGGGGAGGTGTCCGTCAGGCTACAGCTTGGTACATGGCTACCGACAGCGTAGATCCTACACAGAAGTACAAATCAGTTGCGCATTCACTGAATTAAATATGTACCATCTTAGGAATCTCGAGGAAGTCATACGACGGCTGTTTTTACAGAGTCCTCATTGGCAATAAAAATATCACGGTTATATAAGCCTGGCACTATAAGGTGTACGAAAGCCCATTCACGCTGAGCAAAAAGGAGAAAAGTTACCGTTTTCTTAAAACTGTTAACTGGGGGGGGGGCACTCCTTTGATGCTGCTGGCCAATCAATCTAGATAAAGTTCTGACATTTTTGTTTCAAGGAACATCCTGTTTAAATTCCCATCTTGGTCCCTGGTCTAGATGCCAAGAAGGGAAATGTCAACAGGATATTTTGCTGATAAGGAACCGACGATGAATGAAGCCCATGAATGTAGACATTCTGCCGAATCTGCAATCTCTGCAGCTCTGTATCAGGGCAGACTTGGATGCATTTTGGATCCACGTGGCAATGAAACAAGGACCGGAGGGGAGGGGGTGTAACACAAAATATCTCTTTCTCTACTTCTGGAGACAAAGCATGATGTTCTCCCACCATCCAGAATTGGCGGCGAATGTGAAAGAAAGGGGGAAAGGGTAGGAGGAGATTATCCAGGATATTACAGCTGGGCCCAGACGTGTTTTATTCAGAGTATAACAATGAAAGCGACAATCCAAGGAGTTATTGAGCTCCGGGACGTCACGGCAACGGGCGGCGGGAGGAGGACTTGGTGTGAAAGTTACAACAAGATGTGAAGGAAGCCCTGGCAGGTGCCTATTAACCTGGGGGGGGCCCTGGGTCCAAGCCACAAGATTCACTGAAACACACAGCAAACCTTATCATGGATATACAAACCACAACGCTATCAGTCTTGGTAATAAAACAGGCCCCGCTGAACTGTGACAAGTGATCACTGAAAGAAAGCGACAAGTGGAGCCGTCGCCGTGAACCGAGGCTGGTGCCCGTTTCCTGGTAACCTCCATTCGACGGCCTTTGTGTCAGACCTGCAAATGCTGGAAATCCTCACCTCTGCACAAAAGGGGGTACAAATCATAAGTGAAGTGCTTTATATTTTAAAATGGTTTCACAATCTGCAGGCGGACGAAGAAGGGGCACGTCTCGGGTTATCGTGACGGTGCCTCTTCAGCATCCGCTTGTCTTTTAACATCATTTCAAAATTTCTCGGGAAGTGACACACAACCTGGAAAGTCGGTTTTCATCCATTCAAGAGAGGTAAATGCACAGGACTGCCCCCAGTACATCGAATCCCACCTGTGCTACTCTGATTTGGTTCTTCTGAGATGGGTCCTCCCAACAGACAATTTGCACCCCAGCTTTAAGGACAGGCTTATTTAGGACAAGCTACGCTGTGGTCTGCAGCACAAGTGTAAACACAGTCTTAAAAGAGCTGGGCATCAGTCATTGATCAAACAGACTGTGTCCATTTGGCAAAGGTTGAGGAGACCTGAAGGTCGAACCCTTAACAGATGAGTTTTTAGTCTAGACCGAGATTGTGGGGACATTCATTTTGCCAAATTGTTTTTTTTTCCTGTTCAGGAAATATATGCAAGCAGTTTTAGAATCATCACTATGTTGAGATATTTAAGGCTGTTAGAAACAGAAAACAGAAGATCAATATATATGTACAACTATGTAAATCAGGTTGTAAAATGAACTCCTTAGACTGTGCATTGCGCCTCTGCTTCTCACTCAATTGCAGCAAATTGCTGCCCTCTTATGGTTTTTGATAGAATGAGTGATAATTCAAAGCATGTTTAATGTAATTTTTTTATATGTTTGATGTTACCACTTGCAACATTAAATGACCACAGTCCATTTTGCTTTGTGTAGAAACCAGAAAGAATATTGCCTGAAAAATGAAGAGCCCTGTGCAGAGTGCTGTGCAGATCTCAGGTCACTGCGGCAGTGATTGTGACAGCCAGTGACATTTGGTGTGGCAGCCAGTGGTTGAGCTGCACCTGGATTGATGGTTTGGAGCAGCGGTAGGCAATCTTATCCAGAAAGGGCTGTTGTGAATGCGGGTTTTCACTGCAACTCCCTAATTACATTACTAATTAGAGGACTGATTGGCTGCAGAGTCCTCACACCTGGGTTTGAACAGCTGACCTACAGGTTATCCCAGAATCCTGCATACACACTGGCCCTTTGCAGATAAGATTGGCCACCGCTGGTTTAGGGGCATGAGGTCACACCCAGGAGATGTTCACCCCAGCTACAGAAGGCGGAGCAGAAGACAAACAATAAATTCTAATAAGGGTGCAGAGATGTGACAGCTATTCATAAAGATATACACACACTTTCAGAAGAAGCAAGCGGTTTCAGCCAGGATAAGATAGATTAAAAGAACTGGCCTTGAATCAAGGGTCAAATGGTGAAGCTGAGAGGACAAACATCACTTCAGATGCAAGTCTATAGCTCAATGTTTTCAATACTTCCATGAGCTACAAGAAAACCTGCATCCTGATAAGAGACTGTGTAAACAGTGTGTTCAGGCCAGTACACACTAATGTGTACATTAATCTAATTGGTTTGATACGTGTAGGCTAGACCATTCAATGATTCCGGATCATGTACAAAGTCCAAAGGACAAAATATGATGCCGATGATGATGATCAAACTTACTCTAACATTACGATTATGTGAAGTTCCTTTTACAGTCTCCTTGAGCAAAGAATGTGGAATCACTTAGACTTATTTACCAAATGCATCAAATTTAGCAAGGATGGAATAGGGGTTATCAGTTTACAGCTTACATTAGTCGATAAGATCAATCGACGCTTGTTTCACGTATGATCGATGCGTTAAGGACTCGTGCGCACATGCCTTTTCCCGCCATTAGGCCTCGTGCCAAATACCCACGAAGTTCAATTTGCAGCGTTTTAAGTAGGCAAATCGCAGATTAGGCGCAAAGGCTGCCACCTTGTGGATCATTCTATTCCTCAGATCTGAAATAATAATTAATAATTTCTGTCAATGAACTATTTCATAGCTGATAGAGCCAAACAATAAAACGGAAAATGACAGCAAACAGCACAGTCTTGTCCACCAGAGCTCAGCCTTCTGTTACAGATGGATTCAAAATATGCTTACATAAGTGTCTGTCATGGACATCAGATATTTTATTACACTCCCAAATAGCACTGATAAAGTCAAGGGAACTCGGGAGGTCCATATACACCACGCTTATTTCCTGACAGGTTATTTGAATGTCATAATAACCATGAATCTACTTAAGACCAAATCTGCACTTTGTGATCTGATTATCTTTAACGCTGAACTAAATTACGTAAGATGCGCATCATTCAGAACTATCGGACAAAATGATATCGCAAAAGGACGATCGGTAAACAAATCAGTGTCCAATCACATAGCTATCCGTTCGGATGTATCAAAAGTAATTTTGTCAGTGAGAGGCTTACATAAAGTCTAATATATTGTAAGCCTTCGGGCAAAACGGAGCAATTGATGTCTGCAGTCATGCAGCATTTCTCTACAGGAATGTTAGACTAAGTTTAGGTAATTGAATATTTCCCCTATTCTATTTTCGTTACAGTGTATCAAAGCTCCATTACGTCATTGCATGCCGTTCTCTGTTCCCCCCACGCCTTCCACCGTAGCTTTTCCCGGTCGATCCTCTGCTGCATTTACCGGGGGCTCCAGCTGTTCCCCCGATTCCGGGCGATGGAGCGTGGGAAAGCCACGTGACTCGGCTCGCTAGCGTGCCCACCCAGCGCATTCAGCATCATGGCTGCGGATGATGCGGCTGCTCGCCCCGCGATCCGCATCCTTCAGCCGCGCTCCCTGCCCTTGCTCCTGATTTTCCCCAGCGCGGCACTCGGCTTACTGGGCTTTCGCCCGGAGGACACCGGAGGGGGGCTGTCCGTGGAGGACGGGGTGCTGAAAGCGACCGAGGGGACGCGGTTTATGCTGCGTGTGTACTACTCGGTGTCCCCCCAGAGGCTGAACAGGACCCTTAGCGGTCGAGCCAATGCGGCCACTGCACCGTGGATCGCGTTCATCGAGGAGCCTAGCCCGGGCAGAGAGGGGCAGGTCCACCCGAAACGGAACCTCTGCGTGGACAAAACAGCTCGGACCTCCGACATAGAGGTGCTGGGATCCTTCAAGTCCGCCTCCAGCCAGAATTCCGTCCTGGTGGAGCTGCTCGCCAAAGAACTGCGCAGAGGTGAGAAAATAAAATACTACTCAATGTGTGCATTTGACGGCACCAAATGGGAGCACTTTAGGACTAAAGATTTCTGGCTGGCCGTCGTGGAGCGCTCCCCGGAAGCCGACCTCTGGCTTCAGGTGCTGATCTCGGTGCTGCTGCTGGCGCTTTCCGCGCTCTTTAGTGGGCTGAACTTGAGTCTGCTCGCGCTGGACCCCGTGGAGCTCCAAGTGCTGCAGAACAGCGGCACGGACAAGGAGCAGAAGTACGCGAAGAAGATCGAATCGGTGCGAAAGCACGGAAACTACGTGCTCTGCACGCTCCTCCTGGGCAACGCGCTTATCAACACCTGTTTGGCGGTTTGGATGTGTCAGATTCTGGGCATGACTTGGTTATCTACCGCCATATGCACGTTCGTCATATTCTTCATCGGCGAGATCCTTCCGCACTCCGTGGCCTCCCGACATGGGCTGGCGATCGCCTCCAAAACCATCTGGGTGACTCGGCTGCTAATGGTAATTTCCTTCCCCATCTCCTACCCGATCAGCAAGCTACTAGACATCATCCTGCACCAGGAAATAAGCAACTTTTACACGCGCGAAAAGTTGCTGGAGATGCTGCGGGTGACCGACCCGTATCACGACTTGGTGAAGGAGGAGCTGAACATAATCCAGGGAGCCCTGGAGCTCAGGACCAAGACGGTGGAGGACGTGCTGACACCGCTGAACGACTGCTTTATGCTGGCGTCCGACGCCGTGCTGGACTTCAACACCATGTCGGAGATCATGCAGAGTGGCTACACGCGCATTCCCGTGTACGAGAACGAGCGCTCGTCCATCGTGGACATCCTGTTCGTCAAGGACCTGGCCTTCGTGGACCCTGACGACTGCACCCCCCTGAAGACCATCACGCAGTTTTACAAGCACCCCATGCACTGCGTCTTTAACGACACCAAGCTGGACACTATGCTGGAGGAATTCAAGAAAGGTAAGGTTCTCCTATAGTGCAGGCTGGTCCCAGGGATGAAGAACAGGTGACATGGTGGGATTTGAGCGTATGCCTGTTAGTAAACTCCATAGCAAACCCAGTATTAAATTCAGACTTAATCTAAAAATGATTGTTGATCGAGTTAATAGGAAACTAGGCCTAATTACCTACAGATTTCCTTTGGGAACGAACTGAATATGAACCCAAGAGGTTCCTTTTTCACGAGCTCAATCCCATTGTCACTCTTACTTTACTTATTTTATTAGTTATATTATTATTATTAGTTTTGCCAACATTAGTTGCAATCAAGCTGGATATATTTCTGTTCTAATTCCCTGTCCTAATTCCCAGCCTTTAAAATAATAATTTGGTTTTGGATGTTCTCGCTGACTGTGCAGTATTTGATCAGGCACTTCAGCTTCTCAGAGTGACTGGGCCGGCCTTGTTCTGTGTGATGCTTGACCGAGCTTAACTCCATCAAGATAAAAAGAATTCTGACTGGCTGAGAAAATGAGTAGCAGAATTACTAACCCGGTCCATCAGAGCGCACGTAAAGAGTAACCTGGTTTACTCACTGTTTACTAAGCAGCTTTCAGAATGTAACCCCCACCTTGCCCATTACACAGAAAGTCCATTGTTCAAAGTTGACACTGTGGCATCACTCGTGTGGGTTTAATAACTCCGCTTAGGTTAATTAACTAGGGCAGAGTTGGGGGTGTTATTGAAGTTATTAACCTCAGGAATATATACTGGAACCTCGTACTGGTGTCTGGCACTATTACGTAATACATCTGGGGCAGGATATGGGCAGAATGATGTATAGGCATTAAAATTATTACTGTGCTCATGTGGAAACATTCAGTTTGAGTTTGGGGGGCGCGGCTGTGCTGAGTCTCGTAATATATGATAAACCAGCTGGGTGGATCTGGGCAGGGGGGTGGAAGTGGCAGCTGGGCAGCCGATAGTGAACCTGTCGGGGGTGGGGGTCACAGTAGGCAGGAGCTCTGATCAATAACCAGGGATCTTTGTTTCCCAGGAGGAACAGAAATGAGTCACTGGATTAAGGGATCTGCGAGGTAACATGAAAAAAATGTAACATCATTATCATCTCAGAAGAAAATCTTGTTGAAAAAATAAACTAAAATAGACTCTAAAAGCGGTATATGTATTATATGATTGATAATTGAGGTTGTTTTTATCTGTTGTATCGCTCTTTCAATGCGGGAGGGGGTCTGTGTGTGACTCACAAGTTTGTAGGTCTTCGTATGAAAATTCACAAAAATTTGTAGATGTCGTGGGAAAAATACATGCAGGCTTTTGTCATGAAGAGTTAGGGGACGTTTTCATTGAGGGAATACTGGTCGAGAAAAGGCAAATGGAAATGAGGAATTTTGGACCAAAGTGTAATTTGGTTTAATTCCCATGGCAACGGCCAGAGGGTCTTTATGGGGTGGATTTAAAACATGGGTGCTCCGTAGTCCCACGCTTTTCGGAGTACATTTCAGTCAGAACTCTCTGCACTCGTCAGGCGAGATGATTTAATTTCAAAATAATGACCTTAGCAAAGACATTATAGGGCTCAGGCTAAGTGACATGTGATTCCACCCTGGGGTCTGGAGCTGGGAGGCCTGATTTTAAAGATTTAAGGGCAATTTCTGCATTATGGGTGTGACATTTAACCTGAGACTGGCAGACAAAACGACTCACAGTATGGATGTGAGTGGAGTATAGAGAAATCCTCAGAATTCATATATTAATTTGCAGGTTAGAAATACATCACATTTTATCAAAGGTGGCAGGTTCAGGTCCAGTTAGTACAAATCCAGACCGAGATTTTCTTTTAACCAACCAACTCAGTACTCTGTGAATGTGACACTTTATGCTTAACTGGTTGGGTGAAACAAAAAATATGGTCTGGATTTGTACTTTCTGGACCTGAACTTCCCACCTCTGCATTTTATCGGCAGTAAGTATGCGACGTCAAACAGACTTTAGCATGGAATTACCCTGAAGTTTGAAAGATTCAAGTGACTGACCCCCTGCTGCCCCCCAGCAGGGATGTTCCTCTATAGTCATGATGCGTAACATATGGTGACGTGAAAGTCACACGTCGTTAGCGATGTCCGTCAGAAACGCCCGGCTGACAGACTGGAATTGCATTGGTTAGTCCATTCGGGACCTAATGACCCGTGTTTTGGCATGAGCCGGGAGGCCGTGTGGGTGGTTCAGGTGTGAGGTTTGAAAATGGATGTCCCCCCTCCACACACTGTCTGGGGGCCACGGGGTGACGTGTGCATGGACACTCAGGTGTTCCCGATTTAGCCGTTCCATTTTTCCTGAGGTGGGGGCCCTGATGTTTGCTGTAGCCTATGCATTAATCCATCCCCCACCCCCATATGCTTATATGTGTATGTGAGAGAGAATTTGGAAAACCATGAAATGCAGGACCTGGCTGTGTGACGCACCCACTGGACTGTAAACGTCGCACTTGCCTGATGAATAGCGTTTATGCCGCAGTGTGACTTTGGGCCGGTTTTACAACGGCGGGTAGGAGTTCGGCAGAGGAATTAATGACATCGTTCCTACTGATCCATCTGATGCCGGAGCCGCTTTTAAAAGCATCCATAAAATGTATCTGTAATGCCTCAGCTCCGGTGTGGCGGCCCCCGATTGGATCCCGCCGCTTGCGGCCAATAAACGGCAGCATAATTATGAGCCTTAGCAACTCCATTTAGCCGTGTGGCAGCGAGCAAGACCCGGGGGAAACGGGAGGACGCAGGAGGACGTCGGCCATCCGAACGGCTCTGCCAACCTTCCGGAAAACACGGACTCTCGGCCTTCACGTTAAATCCCCGTCCTTCCCTCAGATCCTACGTGTCTGGGTTTGGAACACTTTACTGTAACGCATGTGTGACCGCGGTCACATGGTCACAGATTTTCGTTTCGGGAACACGGGTCTATTGTTCTGCAAAAAATAGGTTTGATGCCCCCAATCCCTCATTCAGAGTTTAAGTGGGTGAAAGGTTATCGGGGGGGGGGGTGGATAAATGTTAATTAGATGCTGACCGTTTGTTGTGCTTGGCCCACATAAACACAGCAAACAAACAGTCAAACGAGCAGACAGAACCAAGCTGCTCAATTTACAGCCTCAGCGGGCTTGCTCAGAGCCGGAGGGGGCAGACGGGGGGGGGGGGGGGGGGGGGGGGGGGGGGGGGGGGGGGGGCTGGCTACAGAGATTATGTAATGGCTGAGTGATGTAACAGTGCGATTGGCACAGCTGCGGCCTCCATCCTAGCAGGCACCTGCTTCCTGCGATCACTGGCCTAGCGTGACTCCCACACTGCTGCTGGAAGGACAGTTTGACCCAATCCTGCCTAATCCTGCAGCATACCAGTAAATCCAGTAAGTCTGTTCTCTTCCGCCACATGGGGCTGTGTTCCCAAGGGACCTCAGTAGAGGTCAGAGGTCAAATCGCAGTCTTCCGAGATTGCTTCAGTACAATCGTGGGGGGGCTGGAGAAATGATAATGTGTAACTTAGTACTCTGCCCCACCTGATGTTGACCAAGAACATCTGGACCAGCATCCGCATGGTGGGGGAGTGCTGGAAGTTAATTAATCTATTCTGCAGTATTATGGTCTGTCCACATCTGAACCCTGCAAGCCCTGGCTCCTGTCACAGGGCTCTCAGTTAAGTGACAGCCCCCCCCTGACGGCCTGTTTCAAGGCGTCACACCGGAGGGGTCGGTTGACCAGGCAGCCACCTGACTCAGCAGGTGGGCCAGATGTCACCTAATTAGAGTGTGAAATAGAGTCGATCCTATTCAGGGAACGGCTGTTAAACCCTTATGTAAATGCTCATGCAAATTCAAATGGATTAAACATAAAAAAAATCTGAAATTTTCTGTGAGACTTGACTATTTTTATTTCACATCCTATATCACTGTTAATTAGTAGCACGAGTAGTTTCTCCTGACAGAAAAAGTAAATTGCTGGGACTAGACTGTACATGGAAATATTAGAATCTGGAATTATATAGTCAGGAATCTGATTGGTCCTGCTGTGTTGCCTCTCCCCCCAGTGTCACCATTGGTCAGTGTCCTGGCTGCCCAGTCAGCCAAGCGTTATATAACCCCACTCCAAGCATGTCGTTTATGTAAGGATCTGACCAGTGACCTGTCTCCGGACCCCGCCTCCCATGGCCATCCTACAGCTTATTCTGGCTCGGTGCGGGTTGCTGGATGTCCTCAGGGCAGCCACTGGTCTGCTCAACGGAGGGCGGAAGGGAGCGGGGACGAGCAGACCTGGCTGAAAGTTCTCCTCTCATTTGCAGCTCCAATGCCCTCACTTCCAAAATCCCTTTTTGTTTGGAGTTTTGCCTCGCGACTCTTGACCCTGATCGGGATAATTGGTTAGAAAATGGATGGTTGGGTGTATTTATGTATCTCTCAGGACCCGCAGACGGTCCACATTTTTGCTCCCAGCACACCTGAGCCAAACAGTCGGGCAATCAAGAACTCGGAATACCTGGTATAGATCTGAATGAACGAATGAGTGAACGAATGAATCAACGAATGAATTTTAATGTTTATGTAATGTGTTTCAAGATGCCTACAGCGCTTTATACAACCAGTGGGGAGCCACTTCCAACGCCACCATCTAAGAGGGAGCAAAAATGTGTCTTTTCTTGAGGTGGTGGTCCATCTCCTTCTCGTCTTCACCTTGATGCTTGGCTTTCCAGCTAGTCCTTCCACCCCATACCTGTTCCTCCACCAGTGATCTCCATCCTACCTGATCTGCTCAACACCTTCCGTCTACCTAACCTGACCCACCTTCTATGACTGCGTTTCCCAATCTGGTTTTTGCTCTCTCTGAGCTCCCTGCCAGGCAATCTACATTTTTGCACCCTCCCAGCTCCCAGTAGGTAGCAAAAACACGGACTGTCGGTGGGTCCCCGAAGACCAGATTGGGAAGCAATGTTCTGCGAGATGAAATGAAGCTTTAACTGCCATTTGTATAGGTCAGGGGTAGGCAGCCCTTATCCTAGAGCGCCGGTATCCTGCAGGTTTTCTATCCTACCTGGTCTCTGATGAACCACACCTGATCTCAGGCAGATAGAAACTCATCAGGAAGGACAGAAAACCTGCTGGATACCGACATTCCAGGATCAGGGCTGCCTACCCCTGATGTAGGTACATTGGAATATGTTAGTTTTCACATACATACTGATATAACGGTGAGATAGAAGCTCTCCTGCAGCATATTTTGGGGGTTTAAGGGCCTTGTTCAAGTGCCTAACGGGAATGTAGCTACTCTGCTACATGGGATTAAAGCCGGTGATGTTTTGATCACTGGCACTGAGGCTTCCCCCGCTTAGCCACACGCCGCTAACACTTAGCATGATGAAATCCTCCTCTCCAGTTAGCAATGCGCTGCCTTACTTTGGCCCAGTAGACGCATTTCTGCTTGTCGTGCGCAGGAAAATCTCACCTGGCCATCGTGCAGCGGGTCAACAACGAAGGCGAGGGGGACCCCTTCTACGAAGTGATGGGCATCATCACCCTGGAGGACGTCATCGAGGAGATCATCAAATCCGAGATCCTGGATGAGACGGACCTGTACAGTACGTCGCATGCCTTTCAGCATACGATGGCCCGTCACGTCGGGTTGCGACACCCCAGTCCTTCCATAGAGTCATACATCATTAAACCCATAGCCATAAGCTCTGTTAACTTTGATGATGCACAGATCTGGAGTCAGTTCAGATGGACTGTTTTGTACTGACAGACCGATATGAATCATTGTGTCATTACAGTCCTACCAAGCCATTGGATACGTAGCCTTTCTTAGTACTATCAGCACTGGTTGACTAACCATAACCAGTAGATCTGAAGCCAGTTACTGCCCTGCAGCCAAGCACACTGTGACTCGGGACTGACCTTCCTTAAATCTCACTGTATAGTTTTATACAGTAATTTTATGTTAGCTCATCCCTCACATTCTGTTTGTGCTGTGTACACAGTTTCTTCTTATGAAGCTGTAACTCTGGATATCTAATTTCCTGTCATAATTAAATCTCATATAGGTTTTCCAATAACTATCTTCTATCCTCTGCACCGTAACTGAGTCCATTACATCTGGGGCCACATTACCGAGCGGCAAGCAAAGCTAAACGACATTAGCAACGGCGGCGTTGTGTCCACCGCGGGGTTCTGCCGGCGCCGTGAGACTCGCCGTATGCCCCGCCCCCTCCGGATGATTACGGCTCACCCCAAGGGGCCCGTGATGAGCACTAGATTAACGTACCCCCTTGACCCTTCCCCGAGGAGCCAGTCTCAGTTTGGCGGGGGTAGAGGAGCCCCCCCGGCACCTAGATGCCTATAAATCATGGCGCTAATGAGCTTCTCATGAGCCTCTGGCCTCCCTTCTCTCGAAGCCGACAACCGGACCAAGCGGAGAGTGTCACACCACGAGAGGAAGCAGCAGGACTTCTCCATATTCAAGCTGTCGGAGAACGAGATGAAGGTGAAGATCTCTCCGCAGCTCCTTCTGGCCACCCACCGCTTCCTGTCCACAGGTAGGGGCATCCAGGTGCCCACCTGACCTTCCCTAACTCCAAGAAAGTCATGTGACCCTTCCCGGCCACTGTAAAGACACTTCAGAAGACACTTAGGGTGTTTCTTAATATCAAGAACACAAAGATCGTACTTGTAGTCTTAGCAAGACCGGTCTTGCTAACTTGCCTCCCAAGAATGAGCTCGTTTGGCTGGATGCAACCGATATATATCCCTGATATTTGTGATGGGGATTTTTACCCTCCTCTCTGCCTGTGTTCTTGAGCATAGGAACTGTTCTTTGGTAATTGACGATGACGTAAAACGGGTACAAGAGAACACAAGAACGGTCAAGTACCCATATCGAGAAACACCCTTAACCTTTCCTGGACTCTCAGGAAGGTCACATGAGCCTTGATTCCATCTGGAGACTGCTTCCATCTGTGTGCATAGGACTTAATCTAATACAAAAGGTCATCTAGAAAAACAGTGACTGTGCAGCTTCATTAGTGTCAGCCGGGCAGTTATTAATGTCCCAGGAAGGTTTATTATAAGCTGAAATAAAAAGCTGATTTAATCACCCTCTTTAGAACCATGAAACCAAAGTCCGGTGCTATAGGAAAGGCAGCCTCAGTGTCTCCCCCTTGTGGCTGTAATGGTGCATTGCCCCGTCTGTCTGCTCTGCTGTGTCACAGAGGTGGAGCCCTTTAAGGTGGCCTATCTGTCTGAGAAGATACTCCTGCGTCTGCTGAAGCATCCCAGTGTGGTGCAGGAGCTCAAGTTCGACGAGAAGAACAAGCGGGCGCCGCAGCACTTCCTGTTCCAACGCAACAAGCCCGTGGACTACTTCATCCTAGTGCTACAGGTAACGCCCCACTCACTGGCCCCGCCCCTAGCCACACCCACAGCCCGCCCCCTAGCCACACCCACAGCCCGCCCCTAACCACACCCATGTCCCTCCCCTAGCCACACCCATGTCCCTCCCCTAGCCACACCTATGCCTGCCATTGGCCACACCTACAGCCCACCCCCCTAGCCACACCCACAGCCCGCCCCTAACCACACCCACAGCCCGCCCCTAGCCACACCCACAGCCCGCCCCCTAGCCACACCCACAGCCCGCCCCCTAGCCACACCCACAGCCCG